GCGATCACCCAGCTCAGCCTCCCAAAATTATCTTTCAATTTTTAAAACAGCAAATACTGATAGGTACAAAAAATATACAAAAGTCTTTGGGGTCCTCAATAATTTATTATACTGCAAAAGGGTCTTGAAAATAAAATATTTGAGAACTAGTGGTATAAGGTAACAAATACCAGTTACTTAGATTATATGTTGTATTAGAGACATGCCCAGTACAAAAATAGGCTATGGGGACTCCAGAGGGGGAAAGATGGAAAAAGGGGGTAAGAGTTGAAAAATTACCCATTGGGTACAATATCTAGTATTTGAGTGATGGATACACTAGAAGCCCAACTCCCACAATTATGCATGTAATGCCCATGTAACAAACAAGCACATGTACATCGCTGCATGTAAAATAAAGTTCTAAAAAGACTGAAAAACAAAAAAAGATGAAAAACAAAAATGCTGAATACTGTCTCCAAAGTCTAAGAATGAGAAACTCTGTTTTCTTCCTTAGAATTTGCTACATGTTCCTATAGGTTTTATATAGGTTTTAAAGACATTGACCAGAAATTTTCTGGAGGTCTTTCATTCATATCTTTGGCAGCAGGGTGAAAATAACTCCAGCAGCTATTACTTATTTACCTAATGCACTGCCAGACACTCTGGTAAGTACTTCACGTGCATGACCTCACTAACTCTTACAACTTTATGAGTTTAGAATTATTTAAGTTTGTTAGGAATTTTTTGAAAAAAGAAAAAGGCAGAATTATTTTATCAGTTTTCATGTATCTTATATGAGAGAGAGAGACAAAGAGAACATTTTTCTCTAACTGTCAGACACTGTCTGAAGCACTGGAAATGTCAAAGTGAACAAGACAATACAGGTTCCTGATCTCATAGACGTTACATTCCGGTGGTTTAGACAAATGATAGAAATGTAATTAAATCATTAAGATAAGTACAACGAATAAGATAAACCTATGTATAAATAGCACCTATGATGGTCAAGGATGATTTCGGTGGGAAATCAACATAAGTTCTGAGATATGAAAGCCAGCAACTGATAATATACATGAGCCGGAGAGAAAAGTAAGAGCAAAGGACCTGTGGCTGGGATACATTTGTTAAAATTCTAGAAGGGAAATGAAGTACACATAGCTGAAGTGTTGCGACTGAGATAGAGAATTGCAGGAGATGCTGGATATATACGCGGGGGCTATATGCTGGAGGGTGTTTTAGACCACAGCTGAAAGATTAAATTTAACGCTAAGTTTTATTAGAAGCCCTTATGCTAGTGACTAGGATGCTCTGCTGCTGTTTAAACATGAATTAAAAATTCATGTTCTTTCAACTCTGCCAATAACTGTAACAGCATAACTGTTTCAAAAGAGAGCCAGAACAACAACAACAAAAAAGCTAGAGTTGATTTTAAAATACATAAGAATTGCTTTGTAGGAACAAAAATATTTGTACATCCCAGGTGGTTTTTAGAAGAAGGAAAGTAAAATCTATTTCTCTAAAGGGTAGGAGAAGTTGGAAAACCCAACAATGAGCTTAGTGAGTCAACCAAGTGAAATTTCATTTTTGGGAACCAAAACAGTATATCTTCTCTTTGGGTGTGTATTCACATGTGAGTTTTAATCATTTTCTATTGATTGACTAATGCCTGGGGGGAAATGGAAAAAATGTGGAAAATTGCAAGTAAAAATTTGGAATTTGCTGTAAACTTGTAATGGATATATAAAGAAAAACTGCAACCCAAATATTAGAAAGGGCCAGTTGAATGAGAAATAGATAAAGCTGATGCTGGGCTTGGAAAATTAGACAACCATATGTTTTTTTTTAAGTTTAAACAAATAGTATCAGTATTCTCCCACTCCCCAAGATAGGCTGAAAACTATAAATTCCAATACCTAAAACAGAGATTGCATAAAAATGAAATGAACTTTGTAAGGGGAATGTCAGAGAGTTGGCATACCAATTTTTTTACCAAGAAGCTTTAGCTGAACCCCCCCAAAAGGGAAAATTTTGTTTATAACAGATGAAGAAGATAGTTAAACCTCAGTAAATAGGTTTTGGCATTATAAGAGAGAAAACCCAGATTCACAGTTGATGAATACGTAAACACTCTATTATACACACTTTAAAGAGACAATGAATAAAAAATATTCTTCCATCACAGAGAGTAATTATCACTCCAAAATATATTTTCTAAATGTATTGACCCTTGAATTGAGGGAAAATGTAAAAACACTCATATCTTTTAATGTTATGCTTGCTTTAATCTATCTCTATACTAAAGTAATAACTGAGGCATATTAAAAATAATTACTGTTTTAAAATTTTAGAGATACATACTGTAGAAAAGAAATGGAAAAGAGTTAGAGTCACTTGAACAATTTGACCATAAAGGCACAGGCTCTATTAAGAACCATTGGCAAGCTTCAGCCTTCTGGTGTGTTTTTGTTAAAAACAAAATAGAATCACTATTTCTAACTCAGGAGAAATTGTATGCACTCTGGTTTGTGGGCTTCCTTGGAATCAAAAGAAAAGCTGGCAACATTAGACCGACATTCTGCAATAAAATAGGGGCTACTTCCCCTTCCAGATTGGGCATGAATGTCTCTGCTCTTTACGGTTCTTTCCCAACACCCCTGATGAGCCCCAACACCCTTGTTGGGCCCCAACACCCAGCACCCAGGTCTGGCTTCATTCATTGATACAATCTTTCTGAACCTTGCCGGCATTTGGAGCCCCTGAGTCTATAACGTTGGACAGATCTCAGTAGAAACTAAACACTTAGGATTTCTTATGCAGTGCCTTCTTCATATATCTGGATATTTGACTCTTTATCTTTCTTATACTTGAGGAAATAACTACACATGTATATATGTATGTATGTTTGTATGTATGTATGTGTGTGTGTATTTGTCTCTCTCGCTCAGTACTTACAGCAGGAGAGAGAGAGAAAAAGAAACATCACTCACACATACTTATGTAGTTATCTCCTCAAATATTTAAATGTTCCCTTCTACACTCAGAACCTGGTGAAGACAGAGTAAAAAGCATAACAAAAACAGCAACCACGTCCTTTAGTGCAGAAAAATTACAAGCCCATAGGTGATCTTGATTTTAAATGAAACTTCTCAATAACTTCTTATGGTACGGATGACATCATTTTTTAAAATAAGGGACAATTTCTCTATCTTGGAATCCCTCAGCCTTTTGGTACCTGTTTGCTTTTGCTGTTGCCAAAGGTTATTGGGACACAGCAGAAATGACAGATTGTCTGGCGACCATAAGGCTGCTAGCAGCCCAAGGCAGTCCAGGCAACACCAGGGAGCAAACTTCTACAGACTGCCAGGCCCTGTGCTCTTTAATCAGGACTGCTAAATGATCCAGGTGGCATGAAGTTTGGGCACCTTAGAATAATGCAGAAAAAATAAGCGAATATTCCCTTCCCAACTGTTCCATTTTGCTCTTCTTCACTCAATATAAAATATTTTGGGGCAAAGGAGACCTGTTTTTAAGGAGGAGTCAATTATCCTCTGTTCATCTATAAGAATACAAAGTAATTACAAACCTAAGAAAAAGCAAAACAAAACAACAACAACAACACAAGAAGAATCTGTTTATTAGACACAGAAAAGGGCAGAAATAGTCACAAGGCTAAAGATTTCTAAAGGCACTTCAAATAGAACGTATGATTTTAACCTCTTATTGTACTTCAGATGATTGTTCCCTGCATGAACTAGGTCAAGTCTCTGGACTAATAATCGGTTCCCTCCGAATGCCTGCCTTAGGGGTACACTTCAGTCACCCCAATGTCTTTTGCAAACTCTAGAATTCCCATTTTAGGTTTATTTTTAATTCTTAGTACCTCCATTAAATTGAAGGTTTATCTTTCCTTATCCCCCTTACTCTCTTCACTGGCATCCAGGCTTTCATTTGCCTTGCCTGGTACCCACAGTCTTAGGTCCTATCTGCCCCTTACCACACCTGTCACTGGCTCTCAAGAACCTCTTTGGTCAAGTGGCTCACCAGAGAGATATGTATCAAACATAAAATGAACATCACATTAGAGGCAATGTTAACATGGCGTTGAGTCACTTTCAAACCAAGCTCTGATCAACAAGGACTATACTCTTAATAGCAACAAAATTTTACTAAAACCATAAGAAAGGGAATGAATAGAAGGGACAGAATGCACTGGTGAGTTCAGAGGCGAATGCACCCTCATGAGCTTGAAAATCAAGAAAAAATGCTCCTCCATCTACCCCAAATGGACAGGTAAAGCTTGAATAAGCAGTCCAGAAGTAGTGAGTATCCTGGGATGGAGAACAAAAAGACAAAGGTGCCAATTTAGAATCTACTGGGGCACATTGTGAGAACAATGAGGAAATGGTCTATTTAAGCCATTTTTTTCCAATAGGAGAGCAGTTGTGGAAACTAAGACCATGTTCTAAAATCACATGTCTTAATATATGCATTATTCCCATTCACAAAAAGATCTACTAAAGTGCAGTGCTTAGAAGTATGAATTGTACTTTAAAGAGACAAATTTGAAACGTCCACTGACATTAGCTATTTGTGTGAACAAGGTTAAATCCTATATCATGTCTATGCTTTATTTTCCTACTTTTTAGAATAGGAATTTATTATTTAGTTTCTAGACAGATTGAGTAAATTGAATGAGGTAATTCATGGAAAAATTAAATTAAATATCTTGCATATAGAATTATTCAATAATTATATCATTAATTACGCAATCATTTGATGTTTCCGAATCATCCATTTGGTTATATTTGCTGTGTTTGACACGAATACTAGAAGTATGAGTAATATTGAGTTCCTGGACTCATCATCTCATCATCTGTGAAGAAAGAGAGAAGTTAACCAATAGTTTTAATACCACATCATATGTAATGTACTGAAGGTAAATACAAAAGGCCTCACCCTGATGCAGTGGAGTGAGTAACACCTGAGGCCAAAGGGTTTGCAGTGCTGAGGAGCAATACCTGATTCAGGACTAGGAGGTTAGATGAGTTTTCCACAACACGGAAGCAGGAGCTGACAAAACAGAAAGGATCTTCCAAGAAGAAGGAATCATAGGTACCAAGGTCTCCTAAATAGTTCAAATTGACTTAGCCAAATGGTTCACCTGGAGCACACCTGGCCAGGACAGGAGATAAGGTTGGAGAGTTTCCCAAGGACCTGACATTCGTTCAAGACTGGTTTAAGTAGTGACGGTGGAGGTTGTTACTTTCTGCGTGAAAATCACAAGAAAAAAAGAAGGAAGGCAAGTGACTTCATAGAGTCTGTTATGATGATTAAAAGCATTGGCTTTGGAGAAAGGGAGACTTTGCATTTTAAACACGGTTGTTACCTTCATAGTTTCAGGTAAGTTAACTGGTGCAAATCTCATCTTCCTTATTTGTGAAATGGGGACATTTTCCTCATGGAATTACAATGGTGATTGAATAAGGTAATGTTAACAAAGCAATTAGCTCAGTGCCTGGCCTATAACACAGATTCTATATTTGCTAGCCCCACTTACCACTGATTATTTTATTAATGGAAAAGGCTTTGTTAGAGAAGTCACAATGAAAGGGGTGGCCCTTTATAACATGTGGCCCTACTCCTGTAAACATAGCTGGTTTTACCAAAGCTTCAAAACTAACACAAAATTCTTTTAAGTAATTTGAAAGTTGAGTGGCTTAAACGTTACGCTTGAACTAAGATATCACAAAGGAAATATGAGATAACACTTATTAGTTTCTCACTATGTGTCAGGTATGTAGTTACTATGTTATCCAATTATCAACCATACTTTACAAAGTTAAAAAGGGAAGAATTAAGTAAATTAGGCAAGTCATCATAAATAATCAGTAATTTATTAATTCAGTGTTTGATTTAAAAGGAAAATTTGAATTGCATTATGTAAGCTGAAAGCTCTTATCTAGAAAATCAGAAAAAAATGTAAATTTTAGTGCTGATTGATTAGTGGTAATATTGGACAAGCTCTTTTACCCTCTCCAGCCCTTGACTTCCACATCTGTAAAGTGAATAGATATGTTTGAGGCATGCTAAAAATTTTTTGTTTCTATAATTTTATATTAGCTTTCTATAGATGTATCAGTCAAGCTGGCCTTTTCTACATCTTCTTGGGAAATTTCTGAAACAATTTAATTCAAAAAGCTACTAGGAGTTAATGCATTATCCCATCATAGAATGAAAAATTCCTACCGTTCTTATTCGCACTCCTGACTTCTTTTCCCAGGCAGGCATTACAAATCAATCACCACACTCGTTCATGCCAAGACTGGATGAGGCCTGATTATCCCAGTGAAGTCAGAAATGACAGATGAAGTGAAACTTATTTGTCAAGACATCTGCATAGTGATGAAAACCTAGCAAGAAAAAAAAAAAAAAAAACAACTCTAGATTTCACAAGAACCATTTTGAATACAAAATTTGCTATGCTGAGGTCAAAATACTCTCGTTATTTTTTTTTTACAACTCCTTGAATTCTGCCTGCCATCAATGAAATCAAGCACCATGTAATTCCTACAGCCTTTCCAGTTATCTAGCCTAACATTAATACCTCTCATTTTGTTTAGTAACCAGAGGACGGGCTTCCTGCACCTTGATTATATTCAATTTGGAGCATGATTATATAATGTATAGAGTTAAATGAGTTTTTCTTACATTTATTCATTCATTATTCAACAAATATTAGCTAATTTGTTTTTATAGATGAGGCAGTGATCTAGGCACTATAAATAAAATATGACGATGACAGACACAGATTCTACAGTTGAAGTTCCTTTTTCACAATAGATAGGCAAAAACTGTAAAATGATATTAGCAGGTTATAGGAACACAGAGTAGGAGTGTATGAGGCATAAAGGAAGTCTTCCTGAAAAACATGAAGTTGAGTTCTAGAGGATGTTTAGTAATTAGAGAAATACAGATAAAAGCAATATGGTTCCATGATAAGGGGACATGAGGAACAAATGTCTGGAGCCAAATGAAAGGATGATAAATTAGTGAAGGAGGGAGAATTCAGTAAGTCTCAGGTACAAGGTGAAAAATGGTAAGAGATAAAGTTGAAGAACAATAGAGGGATCTATTAATAAATGTTGTTGGAAACAAACAAATTCAACTATGGATAACTTTTTAGAAATAAAATAATTTAAACTGACTGATGTGGTTTGACTCTGGGCTGGGCCCAGGCCCCCCTTGCTATGTGCAGTCTAGTGACTTGGTGCTCTGCATCGCAGCTACTCTAGCAGGGGCTTAAAGGGGCCAAGATACAACTCAGGCCATGGGTCCAGAGGGTGCAAGCCCCAATCCTTGTTAGCTTCTTCATGGTGTTGAGCCTGCAGGTGCACAGAAGTCAAGAATTGAAGTCTAGGAACCTTCACCTGGATTTCAGAGGAGATACGGAAATGCTTGGATGTCCAGGTAGAAGTTTGCTGCAGGGGGGCACTCCTCATGGCAAACCTCTGCTATGGCAGTGAGGAAGGGAAATGTCAAGTTGCAGTCCCCACACAGAGTCCCTACTGGGGCACCTCCTAGTGGAGCTGTGAGAGAGGGCCACCATCCTCCAGACCCTAGAATGGTTGATCCACTGACAGCTTGCACCATGAACCTGGAAAAGCCGCAGACACTCAATACCAGCCTGTGAAAGGAGCCAGAAGGGAGGCTGTATCCTGCAAAGCCACATGGGTGGAGCTGCCCAAGACTATGGGATCATACCTTTTGCATCAGCGTGACTTGGATGTGAGACATGGAGTCAAATGAGATCATTCTGGAGCTCGAACATTTGACTGCCCTGCTGGATTTCGGACTTGTGTGGGGCCTGTACCCCTTTGTTTTGACCAATCTCTCCCATTTGGAATGGGTATATTTACCCAATGTCCGTACACTAATTGTATCTAGGAAGTAACTAACTTCCTTCTGATTTTACAGGCTTATAGGCGGAAGGGACTTGCCTTGTGTCAGATGAGACTTTGGACTGTGGACTCTTGAGTTAATGTTGAAATGAGTTAAGACTTTGGGGGACTGTTGGGAAGACATAATTGGTTTTTAAATGTGAGAGCATGAGATTTGAGAAGGTCCAGAGGTGGATTGATATGGTTTGGCAGTGTCTCCATCCATATCTCATCTTGAATTGTAGCTCCCATAATTCTCATGTGTTGTGGGAGGAACCCAGTGTGAGGTAATTGAGTCATGGGGCAGGTCTTTCCCATGCTGTTCTCGTGATTGTGAATAGCTTTCATGTGATCTGATGGTTTTATAAAGGGGAGTTCCCCTGCACATGTCCTCTTGCCTGCCACCATGTAAGACTTTTTTTGCTTCCCTTTCAACCTCCACCATGATTGTGAGGCCTCCCCAGCCACATGGAACTGTGAGTCAATTAAGCTTCCTTTCTTTATAAATTACCCAGTCTTGGGTATGTCTTTCTTAGCAGCATCGGAACGGACTAATACGCTGGCTAAACCACATAATTGAAATAGAAGCTGTGTAGTCAGATCACAAGAAATGTAGAAACAAAGCAGTTCCCAGAGATCTCAGTAGCAGAGATTCATTACATCTTCATTAGGGCACAGTCATGGCATTGCATTGACTCGGTTCTGACCAACTTTAGTCCTTTCTGGCACTCTATTATGTATTCAATTCTTGGAAAAGATTGATTGATCTTGTTTGGTTCATGTCCTCATTCTCTAGAGCAACAGTGTTGCTGACAGTCCTAACAGAACATTATGAAACGGGAGAGGTAATTTCTTCTGAAACAAATATGCATAGGTGCACTATGTAGGCAAAAGGAGCTGCAAAGGACAAAGAGCAACAGACTCCAGACATGCATACCACATCATCATGAGAAATGTGGATGCTAAACTGAAGACAACAGAGTGACACTGGGCAATTCATACAGGAGAATGACATGAGCAGGTCTGCACTAAAGATAAACACAAGGAGGTATGGATTATAGGTGGATCATCCTGAAGGCCTAAAGTTATAAAAGAGAGAGATTGTGGATGGAGATCTGAACAAGATAGTAGTAGGAGGAACAGAGAGAAGAAAACTGGTTCAAGAGATATTAACCTGTAGAAGGAAAAGGGCAAGGATAAGCCATATGTATTAGAGCAGCTAGCATATTTTCAGGAACAAAGCAATAACTCAGCAAATATCTATTGATATGACATAAACACAGAACACTATGTTTTAGAAGGTGCTTAGTAAATTTTGGCACTTTTAGACATTCTATGCATTACAACACCTGAATTTTTTCAAATTGCTCTTATTTTCTTTACATAATTCATAAAAATTTCTTTGCTCCCTCAATCTTCATAGTTGTATTGCCTAATTATAAGTAAGGATGTTTGCATTTTTAGGGAAAATGTAATTGTTTCATTTGAAGAAGAATCTTTAGGTGAGAATTAAATTGAACATTTAGAATAAATAGTTTCAAACATGCACATGTTGCTTAAAATGCAAGAAGATAGAAAACCTTGGTAGGTGGACATGTAAGAGTAACTCTAATAAAATCTTCCAAATTTTACATTTGTTGATGATGATAGCCTTTACGATGCTCAGATTTCAGCTTTTTCCTCTTCTACAACTGTGACAAATGCAGAAGTATTTTTCACCCATTTTGAGAAAACAAAACAATTTTCTTAGCACATGGAATTTCACAGTAATTAATTGGAAGATATGGAAGTTAAGAAGATTTGATATAATCTGATTTGTGTGAATTAAATCATTTTAGTTGTTAAGCTTGTGTAATGGCAGCCCAAATTTTAGATAATTCCTTGTTTCTGGAACAAAGTAAGATGAGCATGGAAAAAAAAAAAAAAAGATCACCAAAATGTGTGAAACAAAACCAAAAGAAAAACATTGTAGAAAAAAAGATTGCTTTAGCGTACCAACCTGAGTAGGGTTTTGGGAGTTACAGATGACAATCTATAGTCATCGCCCTATGCGCCACTGTTACAAAAGAAGAAAATGAGAAAGTAGGGTCAGGGCTCAGGAGAGTTGGAATTGAAATACAAATTAAATGTAATCATGGAGTGTATTACCACCTATGCACCTGCACAGCTCAAAAACCCATTTCAGCATAAACACAGCAACGGGCTGTTCCATCTGTAACAAGCTGACCTCAAAAGGGAAAATAAAATGATCTATTTTCACAATTGAAGTGTACTCTTGAGTAAAGAAATGTGATTTTAAGGGCATAGTTGGCACAGCGTTGCAATTCAA